TTTTTTTTTTTTTTTTTTTTTTTTTTTTTTTTTTTTTTTTTTTTTTTTTTTTTTTTTTTTTTTTTTTTAAATCTGTCTCAGCTCTGGTTCCAGAATTTAAATGCAGATATACAAAACATATATTTTAATGCTTCTTAATCAGCAAGAAACTGCAAATACATCTTTTACTACAACTAGATAATATAATTTCAGCTAAGGCTATACTGTAGCTTCTGAGTCTTCATCTGAACTCCTGCAGTTACTGCTTTTCCTGAAGCCTTTCCACGTGTATCCCATGAAGGTGGGGCTGATGGGCAGGAAGCTGAAACACCTGTATTTTTTAATGAAGTTCATGCCAAAAGGCAAATCATACGTTTCCATGCCATCCAGGGATTTGCTTCCTTTCCCCACGCCTTTCTTCCATTTCCGGATCCCCCTCTCCTCGGGGCTTCCTAAAGGCAAAACAAAAGAGGAAAAAAAATATAAAAATAGATATATGTTCATGGGTACCTTTATGTGAATACACAGGTAATAAAGCAGAGGTTGCAAGAAGGGAGAAAAGCTCGAGGCTCAGGCACCACGTTCAGCAGAACTCTGGGAAGATCCTCAGAAAGGCAGGAAGAGGGGGAAAAAAAATGTTTGATTTTACAACTGGAAGTCAAGGCAAATTTCTCTTCTCTTGAATGGAGCAGGTTTGGATCTTAAAACCAGCTTTATGTGCCTTCTGCAGACTGCTGTGGCCTGGTTTTGGTCAGCTCTTTCAGCTGTTTATAGGACGGAGCCCGGAAAGGATTCCGGGTGTTCCCAGGGAAAGCCAGGCCTGCAGGTGTGAGGAGGGAGCAGCAGAAGCAGGGATGACTCCCTGCCCCCCTGGAATGCTGCTGTCACTGCAGAAAGGCAGCTGTGCTTTGGGACAAGGACAAAGGGCTGACCTGGAATGGTGTTGTCCAAGATAAAGGCGACGCAGCCCCCGACGAACATGGCCGTGGTGAGAAGGACGTTCAGCACCTGATCAATCCCTGCTATTCCTGCAAAAAACAGGCACAAATGCTGACATTTCTGTGTTGTTATCATGCATACACACATCCCACTGATGCACACGCAGGAGAACCTGCTGCTGAGTTCAGCGAGGGATTTGTTTGAACAGGACTCTGGAAAACGTGGGAATTTATGCAGCAGAACCTTCACCTAACACCCCCCCCCCCACGGGACATTCTGCCCCAAAATGTAACCCCATGAACTTTCAGCTGCTCATAGAAACGTCACAAAACACCATTTGAGAGTCTACTGCAGCTAATTTAAACTGATTTATATATATATATATATATATATTTTAGTATTAGAAAACTATAAAAATGGAAAAGAGAAATGTCCAAAATGTAAAATGGTGCGCATTGAAGTAGCTCCTTTTATAAATCTTTACTTTTTAAAAGGGCAAGACTTCAAAGCACCAGTTCATGGCAGAACATTCTGTTAATGTGTCATCACCCACCTCTGCCTGAACCATCTGCTTTGTGAACCACTCAAAGTAGGACAGATATGCCCCTAAATCTGGGTCTGAAGCGACAGCTAAAAACTGTCAGTAAATATTTCCTCCAAAAACACCCCAAACCAACCCAAAGCAGTGACGTATTCCTTTAGAGAGCCTGTCTCTGATGACACAGGATGTCATCATCACTGCTGAGAGGGGAATGCTGAACCAGAACACCTTCCCCATGGATTCCCCAAAGCTACAATCTGATTAACAGCCTGGAGTGAACTCAAATTAAAATTCCCATCCAGAACATGTGTCTGCAGTGACAAAAAAATTCAACCCCCCCCCCAAAAATCCCTCCCTCCCAAACTCTACCTCAGTGTTTCCCCTTAGTCTTTGAACATCATTTACGTCCCAGATTCACCCTTTTTGTCTTTTTTTCTTGGTATTTGCACCCTTTTATTGCTCAATGGAGCACCAAGGGAAAGCAGGAAAACTTCAGCTGTGTCCCACTGAAACATTTGATTCAGGTCTCAACATCCCAATTAATTCTTCTCTGAGAACATAAATACATATTCTCCTCAGAGAATATATATATATATATATATATATATATATATACAAACACATATAAAGTTTATCTGTATCTACAATATTCTTGTCTCCAAATACATTGTTTTTTCTCTTCCTGACCCTTCCATTCCCTTGTACCTGTCTGTACTTCCCAAAGTGAGCAGAAGGGAAAAGCAGGTTTTATGGGGGTGAGCAGGGACACCTACCTGTGACCAGGGGGTTCTGTTTGAGATAACTGGGGAGGACAAGCCCGAAGAAAATGGAAAATCCGAGGACAAAAAGATTCCGAGAGGAATTTAAATCAATGAACTGGAGGTTTGACAGACCCACAGCTGTAATCATTCCTATGTTAGGAAAAAAAAACAACACAAATATCAGCTTTTAGATAGGCTTTTCCTTCAAAAACAGATAGAAAAACACATATAAACACAGAATTAGAGTGAAAAAGAGGAGCAAAGTGCATATATTACCAAAGAGGGTGCAGAAGAGAGCCCCCAGCACGGGGTCAGGCAGGGAGGCAAAGAGGGCACTGAACTTCCCCACCATCCCGAGGAGCAGCATGAAGGCAGCTCCATACTGGATCACCCTGCGACTCCCAACCTGCAGGGAAAAAAAGGAAAAGACACTGGAAAAAGTCTGCACTTGGTCCAGCTTCACCCCTGGACAGTTATTTTGTTGTTGTCCTTTCCAATTAAATTTCTTTCTCGAGCTCCCTGCCTGTTTCTGTCGCTGCTCAGAGGCTGCAGAGCCTCTCCAGGTGGCCCAGCTGTGTCAGGGCTCAGCTCCAGCCTAACCACAACTTGCTTTAATTTGGGTTTTGTTAACACCAAGCCAGCTTTAAAAAACACGTGGAAGTGCTCCAGCACAAGCCCCATGAAATGGGGGGCAGGAGAGAAAGCAGGAAGAGAGAGACCACACCTGAGAGAGATGGAAAATGGAACAAACAAATTCCATGCCCTTTGACACAGGAAGGCATGGATGAGGTGAAGGAGGAGCAGGATTGCTGAGCCAAGATTAACAAGGTTCTGTAAAACCCCTCTGAGGCCAGGCCTGAGTTCACTCCACATGCAAATCAGGGCTGTGCTGACACTGAAACCAAGGGCCTGCACTTCCTTCCCAGTTGTATTTTAAGCATCCAAACTCCACGCACTGTTTGTCTGTGTGTCAGTGGCAGATGATAAACCTGAACAGTTGATGTTTCTGGCACAGCTCAGCTCTCAGGTGGGACTGTTCACCTGCAAACAGGAGCTACGGCAGCAAGTTGGGGTGTTCTCTAAAATTACAACAGAGTTTAACTTGCATCTTTCTCTACTTTATGAAGACATTAATTTTCTTAGGGCCACCAATATCTTGCTCTAAAATAAAACGTCACCGATATCTTGCTCAAAAATTATCTCGCTTTGCATCAAAGAGGCAAATCCTTTAGAGACCCACACGCTGGTGACACTTATTTATGCAAATGCTCAATCACTGCAAGGCAAACAAATTAAGCTCCTCTGGAAAGCTACTGAAAACATCCTGGGCGGCAATTTAGCTCTGCCTGCATATTCATTCCCAGCAAAAACACTTCAGGTGATTGTTTGGGAGTGCATGGGATGGGATCTGGTGGCTCCAGTTCACCACCACCACCGTGGCATGAGCTGCCCAGACTGCAGCCCCAACACATCAGAGCTCACTGATGCTCCTCTCATCAGATAAAACTCACAGACCAGCTCAGAGGTTGTGCACTATTTACACCCAGCTGGAGCCTCAGATTTAAGTTCTGAGTGTAATTCTATACCAATTTCAAGGAGGGTAAATGCCTTTTGGAACGATGCAGTGGGATCACCAGGATGATGCAGCAGCTAAGGATTTTCCCCTCCCAAATGAACAGCAAAGTATCCACATGCCAGAAATCTATCTGGGCAGAAATGAAGCTGAACTACTGTTAGGATTTTAGGAATGAGTGTGCAGGCAGGAAAGCAAGAGGAACCACTGGAGCAGAGCCATCCAGCTGTGCCACTCTGGGCAAGGCACATTCACTCCTCCACCACGTGCTCTGAACAGACCAACTGTGGTCAGCCCTGCTTCAGCTGCCATCAAACATTCATTTTGCACTGTCCCAGAGCAAAATGCCCACTCATTTCTGTGGGCTGTTAATAAAAAAGGGTTGTTAATTCATAGCAACCCCCATGACTAACACCAGAAAGGAAGCAGAACAGAATAAAACCTTTCTTTGGGGATTTTTTTTTTTTTTGCCTGACTAAAATTTCTCCTAGGAAATTTCCATCAGCAGCTGAATGGCAACTGGTACAGACAGCAGATGGTGCTGTTAGTGTTGTATTTCACCCCAAACCCAACAGAATAATCCTTTGTGCAGGAAACAAACGGTGGTAGATGAAACACAAATGGGTGAAGATAAATATATCACTTATATTGGATTAGGTCAGAGGGAAGAGTTATTGCAAGCACAGAACACACATTTTCCACCCCATGTGCACCAAGGATTTATGGCCTCCATGCAAAATACACAACAAGATGTACCAATTCACAACATAAATTACCCCTACCAATGTTGCTGGTATTTCTTAACAAGGTTAAATGAACAGTATCAAGCAAATCTCACTGCAGCCCAAGGCCTCCCAGTTCAAGGCACTCAACCAATCCCACACGTGAACAAAGGGATTCCTCAATATATCTTGTTGAGCAACACCCCAAAAATACATAACCCCCTAACCAGTGCCTCAAAAACAAACACTCAGGGTACATTTAACTCTCAAATTACCTTGGGTGCAGCCTCTGTGTCAGTGGAAGGTCCTGGGACGGACGTAGATAAAGCCCAAGGACCACAAACTGCACTTCACTGTGTTCAAGTGAGGCATTGAAAACAGTCACTTCCCTACTGATGCCTTCAGAGCCAAGACATCCAAAAAGTACCGATTTCCACACAGTTCACAGTGTTTATGCCTCACTCAAACCACCCCGGAGCCCTGGAATGCTGCCTTGGTTTTCCAAGGGGCAGTTTATCTGGCAGCACCTGCTTTCTGCAGGTTCTATCTGCCTTACACTCTGAATAAAAGGATTTTTGAGGCCCTGATGTAGATAGAATAAGGCATTTCCACCAGGGAACAGCTGGCACAGACAGGCAGGCGAATTCAGGAATGGCCTCCTGGAAGAGGATCATGCTGTGGAACACGAACACAAGGAACACCCCCGAGGAGAGCTGAAGGTAAAGCACATACCTTTGTGATGCCCAAGACACCAATGTTAGGGCTGGAAGAGGTGGATCCATTCCCTGTCCCAAATACCCCATCCAGAACACAGGAGAGACCCTCGATAAAAATCCCCCTGTAAAAACCACAAACAGAAGCCAAGAGTCAGTTTGGCGAGCACAGACTCCTCCAGAGGGTGTTTTGAGGCTCAGGGTTACAGGGGGGCTGTCAGGGCTTCTCTCCCGTTATGGAATGATTGCAATTCATGTTTCCAGCTCCAACAAACCTGGAAAACCCATCTGACTTCTGTTTTCTGACTCTTAGATACCCACACTCTTAAACTGAGGAAATTATGACATAATTCAAGTCCAGCTTGAGACCTGATTTAGAATTCTGTCCCTATGGAAACTGAGCCATCAACTTCCACGGACTCCAGCAAGGCCAGGACTGGGATTCCAATGCTCCATTTGCAACAAAATAATCCCCCATGCCACTTGCATCTTGTATTTCAGCTCCTTGGCCCTCGCCTTCGACCAAACTGCAACGTTTCCTCTCGGAGCACATTCCCAAGGGGGGGAAAAGCAAATAAAACCCCACGTGGCTTGAAGACACTGCAAGCATTTCTGGTTTACTGACCTGTTTATTGCGTGGATGGGTGGAGGAGGAGCACAGGACAGCCGGGCACAGGCGTAGTAGTCGCCAATGGACTCGATGATGCTGGCGACGACGGCGCTGAGCATCCCGATCACCCCGGCGGCAGAGATGGTGGGCAGCCCCCACTGAACTGTGAGGAGAGCACAACTGAAACCTCCCCTGCCCCACAAACAGCTCAGCTACCAAAAAATACAGTGATTTCATGGAATTGTTTGGCTTGGAAAGGATCCCTGAGATCGTCAAGCCCAATCGCTGCCCCAGCACTGCCAAGGCCACCACTGACCATGTCCCCAAGGGCCACATCCACAGGGCTGTTAAATCCCCCCAGGGATGGGGACTCCACCCCTGCCCAGGGCTGGACAACCCTTTCCAGGAAGGAATTTCCCCAATATCCAACCTGCCCCTCCCCTGGCACAGCCTGAGGCCGTTCCCTCTCCTCCTGTCCCTGTTCCCTGGGAGCAGAGCCCGACCCCCCTTCATCTCCCCCCTCCTGGCAGGGACTGCAGAGCCAGAAGGTCCCCCCTGAGCCTCCTTTTCTCCAGGTTGAACCCCCCCAGCTCCCTCAGCTGCTCCAGATCCTCCTCCATCTCCATTCCCTTCCCTGCACACCTCCAGCCCCTCCATGTCCTCCCAGTTCTGTCCCAGGACTCAAGGTGGTGCCTCAGCAGGGCCAGCACAGCGGACAGTCCCTGCCCTGGGCCCATGGCCACACTATTTATTCATCTTTAATGGAAACAACAAACTCCCCTCAACTCAAACACAACCTGGCAAGTCCAAGCAGATGAAAGAAGCGGAGGAAAATCCGCCAAACCAACTGCTTTGATCCTGCTTGGAAAAATCCCAAAGAACCACAAAACCCCACCAAAAAAAAAAAAAAAAAAATTCCTCCTGTTCAGAAGGCAGGAATTTGAGCTACAGCTTGTGGGAAAACAATTCTGGTCAGTGAGGCAGATGCCACTTAATTATTATTGCTCCAAAAACTCAGCCTTTGGTTGCGAGTTTTGGTTATCAAACAGGCTGGGCCACAACCAGCTCTGATCACTGCACAAACACCTCCCCTCTCCAAACTTCTGTAGTAGAGAAAATAAGATTAATTTAAGCCTGCAGAAAAGCCTGGCAGGTTTTCCACAGCAATTGCCTTGATGCTTTTATCTCTTTGAAATAGATGAGCCTCTTGCAACAAAAGGAGCTTGGAATCACACAACAGTGAATGAACTTCACAAATAGGAGAGGTCTAATCAGGGTGGAGAAGTTTTCCTCCTCTTCTTTCCCAAAAGCTTCCATTCTTCATCTTCTGCTTCAGAAGTGGTTTCTTTTAAGAACTAATCAGAACCCAAAGCCTATGGGAAACCACAAGGAAGCTGCCTCATGACAGTGGAGTGAAACTCCTAACAATTTATATTATTTTATTGTCTTATTACCCCTTCATTTCTGAGCAGCACAAGGTGAACCAGCTGTGTAACTCTATCTCATGCCATAAAACCAGCCTTTAACAGCTCTAAACTCAGAGATGGCCAACAGAGGAATACAGGTATCCAAACTGTTGTATGAAGTGTTTGGTGTTCCCTTGTAAATACCTTCACTGCCCTTTGATAAGCAGGGACTGGCATTCTCTGACTTGCCCATCGGCCCAATTCCAACCCCACTCTGGCAAGTCAGGACATTTTTATGGCATTAACAGTTGTGCCAGTTCAGGGGATGGGTGTGTGTGGGGCAGGGAAGTGCAGCAGGCTGGGAAAACCTCCACACAACAGCGATTCTTTAGACGAGGACTCAACGACTGCAGTGGCTCTACAGGAGCTGAAACAACAACGGCCTTGTGGTTGCATAACCCCAACAGCACTGCCAAGGGCTGAGCAGCAAGGACTGCAAATCCACCTTTGATGGGAAGTCACAAAATGTTATCAGGAGTCAAGAGTTGCCCAGATAGACCCTGCAAGTGCCTCCTACAAATTCCAGCGTCAGAAACGTAGCCTTTCTTGGGTGAGACCTCAAAGTATCAATGAAAGGGGAAAACGAGAAAAAAACATCAGCCCCCCCCTGGCTGTTTTTAGATCAGTGCATGCTGGAATCCTGGAATGATCTGGGTGGGAAGGGACCTCAGTGATCAACCAGTTCCACCCCCTGCCATGGGCAGGGACACCTTCCACTAGCCCAGGATGATCCAGCCTGGCCTTGGACACCCACAGGGATCCAGGGGCAGCCACAGCTCCTCTGGAATTCCAGCCCAGCCCCTCAGCACTCTCACAGCCAACAATTCCTTCCCAATATCCATCTAAATCCCCACTTTTCCAGTGGGAAGCCATTCCCTGTGTCCTGTCCCTCCATCCCTTGTCCCCAGTCCCTCTCCAGCTCTTGGAGCCCCCTCAGGCCCTGCAAGGGGTTCTCAGGTTTTCTCTGGGCAATCTGTGCCTCCCCACCCTCCCAGGGAAGAATCCCTTCCCAAAATCCCATCTCCCCCCACTCCCTGCCAGTTGAAATCCATTAAAGGGACAGGTTATCCCAAGTCTTTCAGCTGCCTCTGGGCTGGAGCTGAGGAGGGCCTGAGACCCCCCCAGTGCTGCTGGTGGGACGGAGCTGGAGCTGCCAGAGATGGGCAAGGACATGGAATGGTTTGGGTGGGAAGGGACCTTGGAGATCACCCAGTGCCACCCCGTGCCATGGGCAGGGACACCTTCCACAGACCAGGATGCTCCAACCTGGCCTTGCACACTCCCAGGCACGGCCCATCCACAACTGCTGCTGAAGTTCCCCGGGATTTATCACCGAGAGTGAAACAGCTACACTTTCGAAGCAGGAGAACTGGCACTCACAGGGGGTATTACTGGAAAAACTGGGGGTATTATGGGGAAAACTGCCCCTCAGGGCAGCCCAACTTACAGGGATAGGGGACCTTGAACCAGGGGGCCACGAGCAGCACCCCCCGGCGAGCGTCGGTGCGCGCGTAGAACCCGTACTTGGAGTTGTCCGGGGGGAACACGTCGGTCACCGTGAAGATGAAGCACAGCAGCCACGACACCAGAATGGCCAGGATGATCTGGGGGCAGGGGACAAGCCAAGCTGTTAAAATCGACCCTCGGAGGCCCCAGTGATCAGCCCACAGCTGGTGCGGCGGAACGTTTTTACACGCGGATCTGGGTGGGGTTTGGGGTCTGAACAAGCAGGGAACCTGTAACAGATCCTCTGGGTGTTTCCCCCAGGAAGGTGCTGTTACAAAAGCTCTGGAATCAGAGCAAGTCTCTCCTCTCCTTAACAAATGGGAAAGTCTCCAAGTGGGCACTTTAACAAAGTGGGGAATTAGTCTCAGTTTTACCAGAGGAATGAAAAGAAGCCTTTCATGGGGGGAACTGAGAATAGCTCTGGTAAAACGAGACCATAACGACCTCACCCTCCCTTTTTGGAGGGCTCAGTTTAGGCTTTCCCTGCAGCCATAAACACCCCTTCCTCTCTCCCTCTTCCCTTCCCTCCATGATCTTCATCACTCCAAAAACCCCACCTCACACGTGCCCAGAAGGGGATCTGGAAACGAGAACACTTCCTGTGGCCAAAGAGCCACTTAAGTTTCCAGTAAATCCATTTAAGCTTTTACCTCACCTTTGTGATCTATTGTATTATTAAGAAAAATTAAAACTAAGACAAAAAAAAAAAAAAGGGGTTTTCACTGCCAAGTGAAGAACAAGTTGAAGGACTTACAGGGAACATCTTGAAAAGCTGCAGCCTGTATGCTGTCCATCCTTTCTTGGATTTGTAAATGGGTAAGGGGAATTTGACGTTCCTGGCATACTGAGAGAACAACAACACCAGGAAAATAGTCCTGAGGAAAAAGGGGGAGGGGGGTGGGACAAAAAAGACACGTCATTAGCAGCAATATATTATAAATCCCTCCCAGCACCAACCTTTTCAGGTTCCTCAGGCACAAGACATAAACGTGCACCTTCATTTTAGAACGAGACATTAGGACATAATTTTAAATAAATTGTTATTCCATAAAGGCCAAACCAACACAATTTGGATTCTGAAGTGCTGCAAAAACAGCCAGTAGCAAACAGATAGATGAAGGGAGATTTCCAGCCATTCTTGCTCTGTGCTTTTGCTTTTTTTCCTCCCAGACTCGATCTGTGCTCCAGGTCTGCTCTGAGTACGAGGACCAAAACTTGTTAAAAAACAAGGAAAATTGAGGGCCTGTATACAATAACCTTTACATCTCAACATCTGCATAAAACTCAAAAGCACTCGAAAAATTTCTGTGAGGGAAATTATTTCTTCTATTCTTGAGAATCCCTTTTTTTTTGGTTTTTGTATTTTCATCTAAACAGCTGCAAATGAAGCAAAACAGAGCCCCAAAAAACAAGATTTGATGCAACTGCAGTTCACCACTTTTAGATGCTTAATTATGATGCATTTCCCCCCTCAGTGAAACTGCCAAGCTCCTCCACATGTTAAAAATCCATTTTTTACAGCTAAAATAAGAAGCCAGGGCACGTTGCTCATTCCTGAAGGAGCCAACCCCAGCTCTGCTCTAAAAAGGCCTCACAAAGACCGAGCTGTCTGAAGAAGCAAAGCTTCCCTGAAATCTGAGATTATGTTTTTATCAGCTGACTTTAAAAAAAAAAAAAAAAAAAAAAGCGGATTTTCAGCCTCTCTCCCTTCCCTGTCCCAGCTCAGATTCAGTGTCACACACACAAACCAGCTTTATTCTCCCTCACAGAGCACAAGGAGGGGCATTTTCAGCCCCCACTCTCGAATCAAAGGCACCTTTTCCTTGCAGGGAACACTTTGGCATCTCTCCCGAAGTCCATTATGGAAGAGATGGGCTCCCCTCCCCGAGGACAGGTAGCTTTGTGTTTGGATTTATTCAGCACACAGTTGTACAAAATATAACACTATTATATTATTGCAATTCATGTTACATTGGCTCCCTGGCAGAGGGGCTTCCTGCCAAGTCTCTAAAATGCCCCCCAAACCTTAAACCCCAAAGAAACTGTTTTATTCCCCAGATAAAAAGCCCAACTCAGGAATAATTTCCCTTCTTACAGATCACGATGAGACGCGTTTTAAGGATTAAATTACTCCAGCTTGGCCCCCGCAGAACAAGAGAGGTCAGAAAACTGGGAATATTATCCAACAGCACCTGCAGGGTCCCAGCTCTCCCACAGGTGATGCTGGAGGAAGGACTTTCATCTCAGCACAGTTTCAAGAGCCACATCTTGCAGAGCTCACAGTCACTTTTCGAGAGGCTCTCCAAGGCCAGGGAGTTATTTCCAACAACCCACATTTTTGCTCTGCCAGAAGCCAGAAATACTTATTGACTGGGTAATATTTAAATGCTGCTCCTAAATTGATTCTTTTTTTTTTTTTTTTTTTTTCCATCTGCAAAATGTCAAGTTTAATTACACGTCTCCATGTCCAACTGCAAGATCACTCATTTCATGGGAGTCCCAACTCGCAGGGAATTTGTTTTACAGGCAAATAAAACGTTCCTCTGGATCAGCTGCTTAACATAATAGAATTACAAAAATATTCACGATGCTCCCATCCAAGATAAAAGGGAATTAAAGAGCCCTTTTAATCATAAGCTGCACTTACAGAATACTTTGCATGTTCAAAGAACTGTGCAAACAGATTAGTCAGATCAGAATCTGATCTCATCAAGGCATTCCTTCCTCCCAGAGCCAGCACAGTTGGGTGCTGAACACTGACTGCAGCAACTGCTCCAGCCAGTTTCCTTCTCCCTAAAATGTGCTTTCCAGCCTTATTTGGCTGGTTAGCCAGCTCATGGGAAGCTTTTGTCTTCATCTCGTTTTTTCTCAGCTATTCCTTTTTATTCCACTGCTCTCGGTTCTTTAATTTCCCTGGCACACACACACCAGGCCCCGAAATTCCCTCTAAAAGCCTTTTTGTCCACTGAATAGAAACCTCTCTACTCCTGGCTCATCCACTGATGGCATTTATGGATATATTTGCTGCTCCCTGTCATCACACAGGTAAGCAAAGCAATCCCAGTGACAAAGGGGCCAGTGCCACCAATGGGATCGGTCTGCTGACACCAACACAAAACCAGAAATACAGATGGTTCACTCATCTCTCTGGTGTTTGGCTAAATCATCCCTTCTTACAGCACTGAACCCAATCCAGCCAGTGGCTCCCAGACCAACTCGTGCTTTAGGAAATTCTGCTCTCCACACCTCACTTTCAGTGCTTGTCCCTTCCTGCCTCCTCAAGGTTATAGAAACACAGACCCCTGGAATGGTTTGGGTGGGGAGGGACCTCAAAACCCACCCAGTTCCATCCTACACCATGGGCAGGGACACCTTCCACCAGCCCAGGTTGCTCCAAGTCCCGTCCAACCTGGCCTTGGACACTTGCAGAGATCCAGGGGCAGCCACAGCTTCTCTGGGCAATCTGTGTCATGGTCACCACCCTCAGAGGGGCAAATTCCTTCCCAACGTCCCATCTAACCCTGCCCTCTGGCAGTTTGAAACTGGGGAAATCATAGAATCATGGAATGGTTTGGGTGGGAAGGGATCTTGAAGATCATCTGGTTCCACCCCCTGCCATGGTCAGGGACACCTTCCACCAGCCCAGGTTACTCCAGTCTGGCCTTGGACCCTTCCAGGGATCCAGGGGCAGCCACAGCTTCTCTGGGCAACTCTCCTGAGTTGCTGCTGTCATTGCCAAAGTGCCAGCTGACTTTGCCCAGCCCCACTCCCATCCCTGTTCCTGCACAGGGTGTTCCTCCCTGCTGGGAGTCCTGCAATGCCTCCCCTGTCAGTCCAGCCGACCCCAGCTCTCCCCTGACACCCAACCCTCCCTACGTGACAACTCACCAAACCGGGCCCCTCTGGTTGAGGCAGAGCACTCCTCCAGCAGTACTTACAGCATGGCAATGCCCCAGTGCTTCCCAGCTCTCTCCCCAGCAGCCTGGAAGCCGGAGAGGCCGATGAGGGCCACGGTGGGGGTGATGGTCAGGGGGCCGATGTAGCGCAGGAGGGCGCCGGGCAGGCCGAGCAGTCCGATCACCACCTCGATCAGGGAGGACATGATGATGGCACCTTGGATCTGAACACACAACAAGGGCAAAGAGCCACCTGAGTCCCCTCTGACAGGCAGAGCCAAAGCCTTTCTTTTTTCTGCTCTGGATTACAGACCGCACGTAAAAAAAAAGAATTCAGTGACACAGAAGAACTCAGCAAAGTTTTCGTCATAAAACAGCTCATTATGTTTTAAGTGACTTATTGTTTAAGCATAACACTTTTTTTTTTTTTTTTTTTTTTTTTTTTCTCCACAAAACTATTACACAACAGACCAGTGGGCCAGTCTGGAGGCTGTGTGGAAATCACATCACACTGTCAGACAGGAGACCTGGGGTCCAGGCTAACCTTTAAGCTCTCAGATCGAACGGCAAGGGTTGGTGCGCCACGAGGTGATGCTCCTAAAGCTCCTAGGGGCAGAGTGTGTCTGCATTGGTCACAAGTGCTCCTTAGAAGCTGGATTAGAGCAGCGTTGTGGTTCTCAGGAGACTGTCAGCCCTCTTGGCTGCAGGGCTCTTGGCAGGATGTAGCTATGGTTTGAACATGGGGAAGAGAGAGGGGTTGTTTTTAATTAAGAAAAAGCTGGCAGCCCAAAGCAACGGGATGGGAGATAAATTCCATGACACACGCCCTCATTTGGACCTGGCTATCTACCACTCCAGCGTGGCACAACCCTCATCCTGGGCCCTGCAGGGCTGAGAGTGGAGAAGGGCTTTGGGGGGAGCTCTGCAAGTCTCTTGGGAGAATCAACATCTTATCAGGAGAGTCTCCAACTTAAAAGCTCTCGGGGATGACCCAGCTTTGCTAAACTGTGGGTTCACCTTCCAGGGGCCAGCCCACTGCACAGGGCCAGCCAGGCAGCAGGTCTGGCAGCAGCTGAACTGCTGCCAGCGAGCACAAATCAGAGGCACAGGAAGAGTTTTTTCATCTCACTCGAGCATTTCACTGCAGGTCTTTTGGAATGTGGTAACTAACCCCTGGTATTTGCGCTGTCCAGCAACGAACAGGTTGGAAAGACGAAAGACTTCCATGAGATGAGTCAAAGGGATTATATTCAAATGGAAATTGCAGTGAAAGAAGAAATTACCAACTTAAAAGACGAGGACACACAGATGTTTGGGTGAGAAACTTAACTGGGAAAGTGGACAGAGGGACAGCTAAAGGCAACTCCCACATTACCTCTCGGATCCGGGGGTACCAGATGTGCTCAGTGTGCAGCAGCTCTGCTGTCCCGTTTGTAACTGTTACATCTTACAGAGAGGAGACAAGAAAACACGGGGGTTTATTTAGTCCTCTGCCATCACTTCCTACGAAATAAACCCCTCCTCACGCTGGGTCTGCCAAACGAGCCTGGATTTACAGGGAGAACGAGCTCTGCAGGGCTACAAGTGAAGCAGCAAGAGGCTCACACTCCCCAGGAACCAGCCCCTCACTCCACCCACTGCACCAAAAACGGGAACAAATCCTGACTTTCAGGAAGGAAGGTCAATTAGGGATTCCCTTCCCACTCCAACAAGCAGATGAATGGAGAATTACTCAAGTGCAGGCTGGAATCACACACTCCAGCTCCACCAATTTAGGTCACCCACTGAATGAACTGACCCGTGGGAACAACCCCTACTGGCATCTTCTGAAGGTGAAAAAGGTCCAGGAGAAGAAGATGCAGCAAAGCTCTTTTGGAAAAGCTGGACTGGTGGGAAAATGGCTTTGCCACCCAAGGTTATCAGACAAGATGTGGATTCAGCTACTGGCACATTTTGAATGTGAACCAACAGAGATGACTAAACATATAAATAATATAAATTATTAGAGAATCCAAAGGAGCCCTGGGAAGAACTTCAGGTAGAAAGAAGCAGCCTGATTCTCTAGGGGGCTGCCTCCCACTGCCCACAGCCCTGTTACTCAATAACCACACCCCATTAGAAAGAAAACTGCCAGAGGAGTTTCCACTTCACTTTCTAACCTAATTTAAAGCCAAACCCCCCAGCCCAAGCAGCTTTAGTGCACATTTCCCCTCTGAAGTTAAAACCTTTCAGGATGATGGCATTAGCAAAGCAAGAGCTCCAATGAACAGCCAAATCTTGTCAAAACCTGTCAGGTATGACTTAAACAGGGAAAAATCCTGGTCTTGAGGTGATGCTGAACATCAAACTTCCTCCTACTCAACTTCAAAGGACTCGACTGAACTTGCTATTTCCAAATATTAGGGAAGGAACATTTACAGAATGCAAATGTAACAGAAGAATTACTTTGTGCTGCTGCTGGATTCCTTTTGACAACGTTTTTTTTATATATATTAAAAACTCCCCAGAAATAGAACTCCACGAGGACATTTTTAGGAATCTTTTTCCAAGGCACAGAATTTTAACACCCCAAAAGGGGAGACTTTCCCTATTCCCTCCTCAGCACTTCCAAGTTTCCCCCCCTCAGAAGGTTTGGCTGTTGCACTTTCAGAGGTCTGGGCCATCTGTCACTTAGCCCTGAACAAGCACAAACGACAATTACCTGTATTATTACACTTCCACTTCTCCAGGGAGAGTATTGCTCGGGCAGGTGCTAAGAATGCAAAAGCACTGGCCTGGAAGAGGGGTAACCTGGTGGGAGGGAAAGGAGAGAGGGTGACATTGGGGGGTGTCCCTGCACCGCTGCAGGGGGAGCCTGCAGGCTCAGTGCCCCTCCGCCTGCGTGACTGCCAGCACAGCCACTCGCTCCGAAGCGCGTGTGTAAATAACGCGTGTGGGGCCGATAAAAGGCAGATTAGATGTTTCAAGGTGCTTCCCCCCACCAACAAATAACTTAACGCTGCAAGAATTTCGAGATGACATTCTTAGCATCGGTGTTTATACTTCCCCGAAGATTTAAGATCTGAAGAGCACCTGCCAGCGCCAAAACTGCGTGTCTGCTGACCTCACTGCAGGTTGTGTAACGTAAATATGCAGATGTTACTTAGCCACAGACGAGGTGCACTTTGAACTGTTCTATAAATACTGACAATAATTGCAGTAAGATTCCCTTTAATGCCCCTGGACTGCTCCATGTTGTGGCTTTTACAGCTCCTCGATGGAGGGCAAACCCCAGGACAGGAGACAGAAGTGCAGCTCCATCACACCAAGACCAGGAAAGGCTCAAAGGAGGAAAAATCTGTGCAAAAAGTGCTGTACACACTGAGCACAGGAAAGATCAAACCAGGAGCACGTTCCTAATAGCTGTTAAGCTCACAGGCAGGAGTTGGAGCACCACTGGGAAGCACTTTGGGCCTCGGGCACCCTAAAAACCCACCGAAAACTGCACCAGGAACTCCACCTTCGTACGCCACACGAGCCATCCAAGCATGGCTGACTGGATGCAATTCCCCCTGGGAGTCCCTCCGAGCACAAATCCCAGTTTTATCTCTGGGAAGACACGGCTGGCAGCCCAGTGAATGATTCACCTTATTTTGCAGGTTCATTAAGCAAACTGAGCTGGCTGGTGCCCATGGCAAGATCTGCAACACCTGAGACAAGCTGTTACTGCTCCATCCCCACCTACACAGCCCTCTGTCCCTCCAGAGATCTTGTAAATACACTTTGCAAACACATTCTCCAGTGATGAACTCAGCTGTACTGAAGACCTGGGTCCAGATTGTTCTGCATCGCGTTGAATATCCTGAATAATCAGATCTCAGCACGTCCTGCTCAACCTTTACATGACACAGTTCCAAAAGGACCAGCAGGCTCAAAATAGTGTTGTTTTTTTTTTTTCCCCTAAGCAGGGGGGGGATAAAAAAGGTATTTTATTTTTTAATTGGTTTTACCCTTATTACTCAAAATCAGCCAACCAAGATCCGTCTCCTACTGAAGAGACAGCTCCTCCAGTCTGGAATGTGACTTATGGATGTTAAGCCAGGCACCCACTGCCAGTCAGCTACAGCCCCAAAAGCCTGAAGTCCTAAAGCTCATGAGTGGGATATCATTTTAATTTCACCACTAAATGATGGAGTTGCTCAGTTCTGGCAGCAGCCCCTGTGAGGACAGGGGGGGTTTGTGCAGTTAAAGTCACCTGGAAAGGTCTCGTTATCCCAACGTGTCCCACAGGTGCAGGAAAGCTCAGGCAGCGATGGGCACAGTCACAAGCCCGAAATCTGAGGTGGATTAAAGCTGGGTTTGATTGTCTCAGTCACTAATTACCCTCAGTCCCTGCCAAGGCTCCTGGCTCACCCCACAACCTGGGGAATAGCTGGAATTCCTAAAACCAGTCCGGGTACCAAAGTGACCACAGCTCCGCCTCAGCACTGAGCTAAATCCATCTTTAAGGACCTTCCAACCACGGAATTTGACCTTTTGAATCCTTTCTATTTGCTGAAATACTTTGCAGTTGACACGACTTGCCAGCGAATACTTTAAAATCTCATTCAGAGGCCTTTGCTGCTATATCCCATTCCCAGCCTTACATAAACCCCCAATCACATGGTAAATAGTTATAAAACAGCCAAGCGTGGAGATTTGCTCCTTAAATACAAGTTATTCTAAGGCCCAAACACAATTGCCTTCAAGCACATAAAAAAATGTAACTCCAGTGCAAGTGGGAGCCACTGAAAAGGGGAAAATCCCAACAGGAGGGAGGGCAGAGGTGGGATTGTGCACAAGGAACAGAGAATTTCAGTATGATGGGACCATCAGTTTAGTCCCTTTATTTCTGAAAGAGCCCCAAATAACTCATTAGGTAATAAAGAAATTAAAAATAAAATTAAATTAGTGATTTTTTTAAAAAAATAAAATAGAGAAGAAGAAATTAAAAATAAAATTAAAGTCATCATAAGCAGTAAAGAGCCAAGATTAGTTGGGGGGGGGGGGAATTGAAATATGACAAATGTGAGGAGATAAAGTCTCAGGAAACATGAAAATTAAGCTTTTCTGATAAATTTGAGGCAGAGGAAGAAAGCTGGGAGGGGTAGAGGAAAACAAAGCCACCCCCCTCTGAGCTCATCCCCATCCTCAACTTTGCACTTCCAACACAACTGGAAGGTTTTAAACTTCAAGAAATCCAAGGGGAACAACTCTGCTCCTTCAGCTACTGGGAGGGTTTGTGGTTACAGCACAGAGAGCCAACTGGGCTGAAAATATCATTATTAACTCCGGGGAGTCCTGACTGAAAGAAAATACATTGGGGAAAGGAAAATGTCTCCAACTCCAACAATTTTCACTATGTTGTTTTGTCATTAGAATGAACTTTTTATTCAAAACAAAGGAGTGATCTCATGAGTTAAGATACAAAAGAAAAATAAAGGGAAGGTTGGGGTTTTTTAAAGGAAAAAGAAAAGAGAGCAAACCAAAGTTAACTAAAACAGCAGTCAAAGACTACACTGGAAAACCTGAAATATTTGGCCAATTTTTAGATGAAAAGCTGATCTATCACAGGCTTGGCTTCTGCACCCCCTGAGACACCTCTGACACCCAAAAATCCTGGTTCTCAGATAAATCTGGGAAAATGGGGAGGGGGGGAGTGTTTGGCCACTTGCTGTTGGAAAATAGAAAACTGTTCTGAAATGGAACCAAATGGCCCATGAATCATTCAGGGAAGCATCTGAGGGAATCCTCTTAAATATGCACTTTGGTCCTGGCTTTCCTTATCCCTCCTGGTTTATTCTCTTGAATAAGATGCAGAAGTAACTCCACAGGTTTCAGTTATTCCCAAAGTTTAAATAAACACATCCAACACCTCTGCGGTGACCACTGTGGAACACAGGTTTTTAAAGAAGATTTATCTTCATGTTAATAGAACTCACAACATCCTGTCCTTGCCAACAGCAGATTTATAAAAGTCTTTGCCAAGGGGGCTCTTTTTTCCTCCTAAGGAGAGGTGAAGGCATCCCTGGAAGGATGTGTGTGTGTACTCCTGACTCCAGGAATGATCATCACCTGCAACTCAAGAGCAACTAACGAATAAAAACCAATTATCTGATGCACTGGAAGGTAACAGAGGCTCAGTTCAGAGAATTACAAGTTACCCTCAACATCTTTCCCCAACTTTTTAATTTGCCAAGCCCTTTGTAAGATCAAGGATGTGATCTGGTGCAGGGCTGTTCACAACCACCTTAATATTGGAAAAGAGCAAAATAACATTCAAGAAACTCATAACAAATAAACAAAAACCACCCAAATTAGTTCCTCTTTACCACAGTGTATGAATCTTTCCTTTTGCCCAGAAACACTTCTGCCTTCTCTGTTCTCATGAGTCTCCCTCCTCCTTCTCCTGTTTCCCTGCTGTATTTTCTTACCCTTGGAGTGCCCTTTGTTATTCCAGATCCACCTTTTTTTTTTTTTTTCTTTTTCTGGGAGCAGCTTTCCAAAGCTCGCCCTGGATCTGACCTATGATGTTCATCCTCTGAAAACCCCCTCTGGCATCTCGGGACACCCCAAGGCGCGCCTGCTCTTACCACCACCCCCCCAGCGAGCCCCAGAGCTCACCTGCAGCCAAAGGTGGTTTGTAACAACGTGGTGATGCCCACACAGAAGAAAATGGTCCCAATCAGCTGGCTGGTGGCCCACTGGTCAAAGCCCACGCACATGGCATCGGCCAGCAGGAAGGGCACGGCGATCGTCCCGCTGAAACACGTCAGGTAGTGCTGCCAGGGCCAAAAGCTCCGTTAATTCTGCACCCAGGGCTCAAAAATACATTCATTTTTATCACCACGTTTCCCTTGCACTGGGTTTTTGAATTTCCACCCCTGGTCCTAAGCTTTTCTTCGGGTGTTCCTGTAAATGTTTTCCTCCATCTACCACTCGCCTGTTGCTAATGATCCCTGTTTTTTGTAGCACAAACCAAGGCTGCTGCTCTTGAGGAGGGGGTATCCAGGTGACTGTGCTGGAAACAGCCTCCAAACTCGGGAGAAAAGCACAGGAATAGCTCCATTCACTTGTACCCATGTGAGAACCCCCCCTGCTCACCAATGACCCCCACAAAGCAGGATGCAAAGCAGCTCCCAAGGGCCACAGACCAGGCACTCATGAGTTCCTTCCCAACCCAAATACATTAAAAGCAAAGCAAACAAACAAATTCCCTGTATTGAGCAGAGCAAGTAAAAATAGAATTTCCCCCCAGAACTGCCTGTCCTTGAGGAAAGGCAGAAAATCAAAAGGATGCTCTGGAATGTATTTGTTTGGAGAGCTCAACGTGTTTTACAGATATTACCAAATTCCCAGCATTCCTGTGGGACAGACATTATTGCCACTGGAGAAAGGGAGGAGACGAAACTGGAGCTGTTCTGCTTCCCACAAGTGAGGGACCAGTAGGGTCCAGCTCCTTATTCCCTGCAGGAAGCACATGCTCTTACTCCAAGGATTCTCCAACGAGCACAGAAGTTTCCTGCTCTGCTGCCCGGGCCCAGGATGGTGCTCTTAAGACTTGAAATAACTGCTAGCAGTTATATATTCAAAATTTCAGGACTAAAACATTATCTCTCTCCATCTGTAATTCCAGAGATGCCACTTCTAAAGGTCACCACTGAGCATTTGCTCACTTATTTACTAACAGCTGCTTGTGAGACTAAATATTTGAGTGAATCTCATAAATGCAGGAGCAGAAAGCTCACACAGATCATTATCAACACAGTGATCTCAGTGTGTGACCAACTCCAGAAGAAGCCTCTCCACACCTTCTTCAAACACCTGAGAGGGGGAAGAATAAAATTATCACACAGACACACACACACACACAAATGCAATGAACTGGGCAGAAAACACTAAACAAGCTTCAGAAGGTACAGAGGGAGAGTTTGAAACACACCTGTAAGCCCAAAAATATGCAGAGGTACCAGGGAGGAACATCTTCAATGGTGTAAATCATGTCTGTCCTCTGGGCCTCCAAACTGCCACTGCTGTCCAGGGTCTCTGCCAGGGAGCTCTGAGGGGTGGGGGGACACAAAAGGACAACAGCAGGTTATTGCTTGGCATGAATAAAGGGAATTTGAACCGTCAGGCAGTTTCTCTGATGCTCCAAGGCTGGTACGACACGCCCCAGTCGTGCTGATATGTGACATTTTTAAAGCCTTTTACCTCTGACGAGCTCCTGAGTTTGTACTGCACGTGTTCCCTGCTGTCAGCAATCCCCTGCTTATATTTACACAGTGATTTATTTGTGATTGCTGGTTTATGACAGAACTGATCTGCCAGCCAAAAGGTGCCCAAAACTGGCATAATTATCACATGATTATTAAAAAAAACCAGCAAAAAAGCAACAAACCAAAACCACAAAACCAAACAAACAAAAAAAAAAAGGAATTAAGGAAGAATTGGAACTAAGTAGAAGAGCCACCAGTGGCTCCTCCCAAAGCAGAAGGGCTCTGTCCTTGCATAAGAGACCAAAATGACAGGCCAAAAAATTGCTCATTATGGTAATTGCTTCCCCACTTTAATTCTTACCCAATTCCATCTTGGTTAACCTTTTTCAGCTGAAGGATTTATTATTTTCGCTTCCACACCACACTGAAGCAGTCAAGAAAAACGCTAATTATTATTATAACCAAACACATCCCCAGCCAATTTGTGCCCGACTTCCCCCAGGAATTTAAACCCCTGCAGGAATTTCAGAGAGACCACAGTTTAGTCCCCAGAGGGCCAACAGCCAACTGGCCACACATATTCCCACATCAGCACCCCTGTGGGTTTGCCATCGAAACAAAAACCAGCTCCGCCATTTCTCCTTCCAAACTACAGGGAACCATTTCCCTCCAGCTCTCCGGTTTGGGAATTCCTTGGGGGGGGCAAAAACCACGCTGCTCCAAAGCACAACAGCAAGAGCAGGAGGAAGTATCAGGTTTTATCACTCCCAAGAACCCCCTTGCGTAAGAACCGCTCTGCCCTAATCCAGGACACAACAAGCCCACGTGGAGTTGCCTCACACCAGGGCTGGGAGTTCTGCCAGACCCGTGACTGCCTCAGATGGGCTTCACTTCTCCACAAATCCCATCATTTCCACGGATCCCACTTGGGGAGCCTCCCCTGGGTATCACCTACGAGGCCAGCGAAGCCAAACCCACCCCCGGTTCCTTCCCGCTCACCTCAGCTTTGTGGTGGGAAAACAAGGAAAAAGCGCCACTGGGATAACTCTCCTGACCACGGGATTACGGAGAGAGGTCGGGGGTATTGCAGTGGAAAAGTAAAATATAGGAACACTAATCTCAGAAAAGTCTTTTAAACCACATTAAGCACCAGGCAATCCTCTCACCAGGGTACGGGTCCTAAACTGAGGAATGAGGGGAACTGCTCCCTGCCCCCCTCGTCGGGTCAATCTGCAGCACCACTGACCCTCTTTCATTAACAGAGAGGAATTTTTTCTCTCCTGACCCAATTCTCTAAAAAAAAACATGAAAAAAATAACGGAAAAAATCAGGAATTTGAACCATAGAATTGTTAAGGTTGGAAAAAACTTTTAAGACCGTCAAGTCTAACTGTCAACCCATCACCAGCGCCACGTCCAACCATGTCCTCAGCTGCCACATCCACGTGTCTTTGGAACACTTCCAGGGATGGCAACTCCACCACTTCCCTGGGCAGCCCATTCCAACCTTTAACAACCCCTTCCTTGAAGAAATTCCCCCTGTTGTCCAAGCTGACCCTCCCCTGGCACGGCTTGAGGCTGTTCCCTCTCCCCCTGTCCACCACCCTGCCCTGAGGAACCTCCACAACCCTTCTGAGGACGGACAGAAATGGAGCTGCCACAGGTCACGCTGCTCCCACGCAGGGATACCTGCAGGATCTCTAAAACCCAGGCAGAGATTCGTGCAGATTGGTGACTCTGGACTTGGGAACTCCCACCTTTTGGGCTCTTTTCTTTTCCAGCTTGGCCAGACCAGCACCCAGCAGCTGTCCCAGCGCTCCACTTGGTGCCAAACACTTATTTTTCTGCACAGGACTGATGAGGTTGCACCGAATGCATTCCTTAACTTTTTCACTTGCCCTTCTAGTCTATCCTATCCTAGTCAGTCCTACTCTATCCTCCCTCTTCTCTGGGCAGCAGAAAGCAGAAGCAATGGCCTGTTCCTACCAGGAAGACCATGGCACACACAGCAAGGGTATCAGTCCTTCCAGAGCTTTCCACCTGGCATTACATGATTCCTAAATTAGCCTTGCAAAGAACAAAAACCAGGAGCAGGCACAAGGGAGCTGGTCCATGGCATGGAAAAAGGTCTCTCTGGGTGCAGATCAACAAGTGCCAACCAACTTGAGCTCTCCTTCAGGAAGTGAAAGGTTATGGGTCTGCCAACAAAAGAACCCCAAATTCCCAAGGCATAAATAATGTCATGGCAATGTCTACACAGTAAAGGGGTTGTATAAAGATTTAATAAAGGTTTAATAAAGGAAACAACCAGCACACTCCTCATTCCTTCCAAGGCCAGACTCAGATCCCTCTGGACAGGGAACTCTCCCCTTGGGCAAACCCTGAGCAGATCAATCCTGAGCAATGAGGAACTGCAGGACTCAGGTGAGGCCTGGCCATCCCAGGAACTCCCTGGGGAGTCACTGGCCCTTTGGCACCTCCAGCATGTGCCTGCTGGTCCAACCCTGACTCAGAGCTGGTGTTTGCCAAGTGTGCCAAGGGAACTGCTGGGAATGGGTTGCAGTTCCCTGAATGAGATACTGATCACAGGCTAATTCCTCCTCTAATTATTTTTAACTGGCTAAAGTTGGAACATGCTGTGCCCTTTTTTTTTTTTTTTCTTTAATTTTTCTGGTAAGTGCAAACAGGGGGAATGAGACAGGTAAAGGTGGAGAAAGAATGCTGGAGGGAAAGAAGAAACCCCACAGCAATCCCAGTGCAAAATCCAAAGAAACAAACCCCAGCAGTGCAAGACAAAGGCTCCGATGTCAAGCAGTCGTACAAGAAAACTGATAAAGTGTGGGGAGCAAAGCCTTTAGAGAAATACCTTGAATAAAGGGACCTTAAAGAGCATCCAGTTCCACCCCACACCATGGGCAGGGACACCTTCCACTAGCCCAGATTGTTCCAGCCTGGCCTTGGACACTTCCAGGGATCCAGGGGCAGCCACAGCTTCTCTGGGCAACCTGTGCCAGGGCCTGCCCACCCTGTTCATTCCCTGTGACCACAGCAAAGCTTTAAGTCAAGTAGATTTGGCTGCTCAAAAGCTCATGGATCTCTCTGAGGTGAATTATTCCCCATCATTTACAGTCCTGACCACGAAGGATCAACTAGAAGGGAGAAAAAAAAAAAAAACATGCACTTGGTGAAACCAGGCCATGAAGACACGGTTTGGTGTCTGGAGATGGCTTATCTTGGTTGCACAATTTCACCCAAACACCTTTTGCTCGGGGCTTTATGAGATTGTTTCCCTCCGCTCCAGTCCAAGCACGCTCCAAAAATCAGCCCCCACAGACATTGCAGGTCAACAGTTGCCAAAATCTGCCCAGGAAAGATCAGCATGACCACGATGGTCACGGAGATGTGTCTGAGACATTGTCCTGACATGCACCACTGAAAGGCCTCTGGCAGAACCATCTCTTTAGGGGATATTTTAAACCTGAAATTCAGAGGAGAATTCTGGTGTCTGAGTTGGAAAACCTCCGCTGCACCCCTTGGTATCATCCTTGCCCCATCACAAGTTACAGCCTCACACAAAAGAGCATCATGATGCTCTTGGCTTGGAGCCAGGAGAGCTTTGGTCGTGTTGCACTTGGGACACTTGAAAAATTTGGTCAAGTGGAGGCTTTTCAGAGACAAGGCTTCACCACAGACCCAGTCTGATTAGACATTTCAGAAAGTGCTGTTCAGATTTAATATAATCCTCATCCTTATTTTAAATAAAAGCTCAGCTTCAAACCATCTCAGCTGGCAGGATTATTACTGAACAGGCTTAGGGGATGATGGAATGGCACAAAAAGCTGGAAAAATCACAACCAAACTGGTGTCCTTTGAGGCCTCAACTGGTCTCCCTGAATAGGTGAAACACAGTCATAGTTTTCCTAAGGAAAAATGTTCCAGTGTTTTTATGATCTCCAGCTCATTCATAAAGCTGCCACTCAATCATAATGGGCAGCCTCTAGATGGAAAAAGGACTAGAAGAATTAATCTTAAGAGGCTGGAGCTTGGAAGAAACTGTGAGAGCGGGAAAGATCCCACTTTTAGAGGTGCTCAACACCCCCAGTCTCCCTGGACAAAGGCAGGTTAGCAAGTGATGACCACAGCACAGTGACCTGCCCAGGGAAACCACGCAAAAGGCCAGCGGGAATGAAGAAATCAAAAACTTGCACATTATGAATTCTGGTGCCAGGTCAAAGTGCATGCAGCGCTGACATTCCCTGAGTCATGCCCTGTGTTCTGCAACCACACAGAGTGTGTGACCAGAGCAGTCATGAGGCCAAACTGCCCCGAGCCTGAGGCGAGTGTGGAGTCAGCACCGTCTGCTGAAACAGCAAATCCCAGCCATGTGGGACTGGGGTGGGCAAAGAAGGAACTGAGGGAGCAAGAATGAGTCCCCCACCTCCAAGGGAACCACCACGTACCTTCTCTGCTATGCCATTTTCCGTGGTGTAGATGGCCATCAGCTCCGTGTCTTCCGTGTCCTGGTCACCGCTGGACGTCGCTCCACCGTTTATCACCACCTTAAAAACACAACAAACAGCAAGCACGGGGTCTTAAAATAAACACTGGCTTTGCAATCACACCTCCTGCCTCTCAGTTTTCCCCCCTGGTACTTGACATCTGCCTCTGACACTGCCAGAAAACATGATGAGCTGGGTTGGGGTCGGGCTCTGCTCCCAGGGAACAAGGGACAGGAGGAGAGGGAATGGCCTCAGGCTGTGCCAGCTTGGATATCCCAGAGAATTTCTTCACTCAGAGAGTGTTTAAACACTGGAACAGTTTGCCCACAGCAGGGGTGGAGTCCCCATCCCTCCAGGTGTTCAAAAACCAAGCAGACTTCGTGACACACGTGGTGGGATCTGGCTGAAGGCTGGGCTTGATGATCGTGGAGGTCCTTTCCAACCTTAAGGATTCCAGGATTCCATAGCAGGGGCTGGTGCTCAGGCTGCAGAAGGACAGTTAACTGCTCCAATCCTGCAGTGCCTGGGGTGCTGCCTGTCCTGGGAACAGCCCAGCTGGGGAGCACACGGGGAACAACCACACCCATGCAAACACCACTCACTGGCAAGAGAGCTTTGTTACCAACTGCTGGTGGAAATGAGGGGTTTGTACAACACGATTAGGAACACAAACTGGCTGATTCACACCAGAATGTGGTACCTACAGGCAGGGTGAAGAAGGTGGGATGTTTGGATTCATCCTCGTATTTGCCCTCCGAGGAGCCTCCCGCCTCCACCGACTTCGAGGTGGTGTTTTTGCCGATCCCCATGGTTTCCAGAACGTCCAGGACTTGCATGCAGCACCCCAAGGGATGCTGCTGGGATGAGAGGCCAAGGACTGAGGACAATTCCTTCTCTGAAAAGCAGCAGCACCGCCTGGAGTCACCAGAGCTCTCAGTGATCCAGCTGGGACATCAGGGTGTCGTTGGTTCCTGGAACTGGAGGGAGAGGTGGATATTTTTATTCCCCAAGATCTGTGTACATCCACACCAACCCCCCAGCCTGGGCTCCCTTTCATGCTCATGACTCACCAGCTCTCATCAGTCCTCCCCAATCATTAGCAGATTATCATTTAAAGATGAAGCTGAAGGTATTTCAAATTCTTTCAGGATAGGAATACTATGATTATTTTCAAATTCTTCTCTTGTGATCTTCAATCATTAGTAGTAAATTGAAACCTTTGGGTTTTTTTCCCAATTCACAGCCATTTCCATGGAACTTTTGGGGAACAAAGCACACCTGTACTCCAGGTGTGGAGCAGAGTAGAACAGCTGAACACCCACTGCAAACAGGACTTGGACTTCCTCAGGGAGTGTAAATTTGCAGAGTTACCTCTGCACAGCTGAATCCTTTCTCTGAAAACAACTCATTATGAAATAAAAGAGTCCAGGAAGCTCAGACCAGACGGACAGTGAAGGACCTGCCTTTCAGCGAGGCCGTTTCAGACAGAAACAGCTCCTTCTGCCGAGCATCCCCACCCAAAATTATCCCAGTTGTTGGAGGGCTGTTCCAAGTCACCTGCCTGCCGATGTGGAAGCAACAGCTTCAGGATAAAGTGGTGCATTTTAATGAGTTTCACTACTCTTTTGGCACAGGAACAGGGAAGATCTCACAGCCCACGAGTTCCCGTTTTGTTTTCCCAGATGGGTCACTACAGGGCAGTTTTCCCCCATTTGCTCCTTAATTTAGCCCTGCCTGTCCATCACCATCCACACATTTGCCGTTTCCAAGACCAAAGAACAGGATTTAACGGATTTAAACACAAACTTCCCGCGGGACAGCACCGGGAATTCTGCAGCAAAGCAAGTTTTGCAGCCTGGGGGCTCCTGAGCCTCAAACAGAAAACGGAGCCACAACCACCTGTGGGGGAAAACCAGCTCAGATACAGGTGAAAGTACAGGACAGAACTCGAAAAAAAAGGCTTTTTAAAAATCGCAGGAAGTGGAATTTTCCACAGCAAGAAGCACATTGAAGCAGCAAAACCCACTGCACACAGGGGTTACTTCCAAAGTAAGGTAATGACATGTTCAAGTAAAATCAACAGAGGTGGAAATGTGGCTGATGGACACTCAAAAGTACAGTTTAGTTTTTATTAGGAAGGAAAAAAAGTAGGGTTTTGGGGTTTTTTTTCCTTAAGTTTCCCTTCCAAATGCTGCTCAGGAAAATGCCAGCAGCTCCTCTCTACTGTAATTGTAATAATAACTGAACCTGGCAAAGAATCTTCAAATACTGGTATTTTAGAACCTCTTAATAGCTCTTAATTGCCCATTTGCTAGAAAATTCTGGTTACTTAAGGTGAAAGAGATGTTAATCTTTCAAAGCAACATAACTTTTCTGGAGAGAAAATGTACCTGCACAAGAAAGACTATTTGGGCCACCAGGATGGCCTTGAAGCCTTAATTAAATCGAGATGGGAATGAAAGGCAGTGCCTGCAAATAAGGGCTAAGACTTGTTCATTAAAGTAAATATTAAGTAGTACAATTAATTATTTCTCACTTGAACTGGTTCGAAGACTCACTGTCTTGTTCCTCTGGAAAAAACAGCTATTCCCACTTTTACAACGGCCACAGATTTCCTTTTGGAGGTGCAGCTCAGGGTGGAGAAGAGACAGGTTAACAGGTTAAGGGTTTGGGGGCACTGGAGGGGTCTGGGCTGGGATTTTGGGAGGGGCTTTGTTTGCTTTCACCGTGGAGCCACCAGGGATTTTTTTTTCTTTCCAAGCACAAAAGACTTTTTTCCTTTTGCTGTCAGCATGGACTTCTTTCACTCTCCAAGAAAATCAGAGGTGGAGACAGGCAGGGTTTAGTCTGGCAGCTTTAGGGTGTGGGAGTGGGGAGGGAAAGGGGAAAGGCAGCAGGTCCCTCCCTAAGCAGGGCCAGCACCCCCATGGAGTGAGCAAACCTGCCAGCTACAGGATGGGGTTCAGGCCCTCTGGCACCATAAGCTGCTTGGCTGGCATTAAAGCAGCATCTCCACTGATAAAAGAGAAAAGAGCCTCTAATCCTATTTCCCTGTGCACTGCCATCTCCTCCAGGATGGGATCACACCTCGGGAACGGGCCCTGAGAATGCCACCCTTGTATTCATTGCTGAGGGCTGACACACGACAGCCAAGCCAGAGTTTAGATGAAGGTTCCCGAACAAGCAACTGCAAATTTACAAGAAGAAGCTCCTCTGCTGCTTTTCCTGAAGAGGGGAGTGTTTGTGTAGACGTGTGTGTCAGGGGTTGCTCCAAGAAAAAGCAGGAGAACAGACTTCTCAAGTTATCTTGATTCTGCTTGGCGATTAAACTGGCACTTAATGGCACAGCTGATTATCAGATTTTTGGAATACTTTTACTCTGCAGTCAGGAGTGTCAAAGGGAAGCAGAAATGGAGAGGCAGTAGATGAGGTTATCTGAGATATTCTTCTTTATCAGCCCTGGTGTCCCACCAACCCAGCTCAGCTACACATGACTCAGACATTTTTATAACCTCTGTAGCAAATCCAACTCTCAGAAGCTGAAAAGTCACAGAACAAGAGATTAAACTCATTCATCATCAGGCAGGTACACGCTGTAAAATGAATTATCTGCAGCCTGGGATCAGATGGAAAGGCTGGAAGTGAAATCAGGACACTGATTAACATTCACCTTTCTGAACCAAATTACCTCCAGTGTGATTAACCCAGGAAGGCCAAAAGCTGCCAGGGTTTACAGGGCTGAAGATAAGATTAGGATTTAGAGTAAGAGCAGGGGATAGTCCTGGTGCAAGTTCACCAGGAAAACCCTTCTGGGAAGTTAAAGGCCCTTCTGCATCCTCAACACTTTGTGCCTGAGTGAGCCTGTCTAAAAAAAAAATCAATTGAAAACTCATCTCAGTAGATTCAAGCTTTAACTTGGGCAGGACAGGAAGGACAGATACAAATAAAGGGTTTTATTACCACGGAAAGGAGAACTGGACATGAACCCATGAAAGGAGGAGGTAACTGTAACACAGACACCCTCTCCCTGTGTGCACTGTTTCCTTTAAAAGCAGCAGAATTTGATACAGGTTTTGGCTGAGCCACACTACAAATATCGCCCAAATCAGATCTGCTGTGATGGCAGTTCCTCCCCACAGTGCTACGTGTGAGGATCTTCAACCTGAACATCTGAACCCAGAGCTTGGCAAAGCAAAGGCCGGGGGAAACAAACCCACCCTGACCCCTGCAGGGTGTGACCTTGGCTTTTCTCTTTGTTTGGGTTGGCTTGGGGTTTTTTTTTAGACAGAAGGGTCAACACTCTGCCAGGTGCTGCAGAGCTCAGACTCCCACAGGACTTTCAACCCTGAAATCTCGGTTTTCCAAGGTGCCAGGACGACGCAGGTATTTTCCCCAGAAAGCAGCTTTCCTGTCTTTCCTTCTTTGCCAAACTCAACCCAAACACCTTCCAAAACCACGAGGGTCTTTCCCATTCCAAGTGGACCGAGGCTCTCCACGCTCAGTGCCCACCAGAACACCTCAGCCTTTCCAGGTGGATCTGAGCAGCTGTTTCAGAGGCCAGGAGGCTGCTGACTCAGCACAAACCCAGCAGATAAGGACGAGCAATGGGCACAAAGTTTGAGCAGCCTCATTCAGAGCTCTGTGTGATGGGGCAGCAGCGTTTCCGAGCTGGCACCAGGTCCCCTAAAGCCACAGCTGCGGACAGGAGCTGCTGCACAGCCACAGATGTTCCACTGGCTGCAAACAAGAGGGATTTGGGTACCTCGTGGGTTCCTTCCCTCAAACACAGAGTTGTGCTGCAGGTCTCAGTCAGGAGTAAAAGCTGGTGGAAAGGTTGAAAGAACCCCAGCTGCTCTGACAGGTGTGTCCCCTCCTCTTCATACATTTCAAGCATCAAACAGTGGGAACTGGTTAATCACAGAATCACTGAGGCTGGAAAAGTTCTCCAAGATCAACAAGTCCAACCTGTGACTGATCTCCACTGAGCGCTCTCAACACCTCCAGGGATGGTGATTCCCCCCTCCTGTCAGGGATTGCAGAGCCAGAAGGTCCCCCCTGAGCCTCCTTTTCTCCAGGCTGAGCCCCCCCAGCTCCCTCAGCCCCTCCTGCTGCTCCAGCCCCTTCCCTGGACAGCCCCTCAGTGTCTCTCTCGGGATGAGGGCCCAGAACTGGACACAAGCACTCGAGGTGTGGTCCCCATCCCTTCCCTGGTCCCCAGCCAGCACCTGTGGGCCTCTCTCTCTCCACCCCACCTGTGGAAAACCAGGAACTGCCCTGCATTTGGTGGCCCTTCACTGTTCCACAAGGGAAGTGTTGGTACAGGGAGCGCAACAAGTGTGGTTATAAAACCAGCTGGCCATGGAACAGCCCATCCTTTGGAGTGCCCTGCTGGAAAAGCTGCCAGGAGCACCGTGGTGGGAATGTCCCCCATCCCACTGCCCCGGGAAGGAGCGATGGCAGATCCAACCAGGCCCTTCCTGGCTGTCACAGACGGCTGGGGAGCCAAGAGAGCTCTGGCTGTTGCACACACTAAGGAGATTAGAATCAAATTAAGGTCACTGCTTAATTACAATCATCAATTTATTATTTTAATTAGCTGTCAGGCTCATGTGAACGGCGCTGCCTTTCTCCTGCAGGCAGAGATGATGCTGCTCAGCCAGAAGCCGCCACGCTTGGGGTGACCTGAACTGCAGCGGTGCCTCTGCAATTCCCACACCTCCTGTGGCACTTCCAAGTGTCTGGCACCACAAACTCAGGGCAAACGCAAATCGAGGCATCCTGGAGGTCTGAGATGCTGTTTTGGGCAACAGGCACACAACAGAGATGTGCAGAGGGACTTGGACTACCTGCACATCAGGGCATTTTATTGTTAAATGTAGCAAGCCTCAGCAGAAGAGAAAACCAGCTTTAAAACCAGCTTTAATACCAGCTTTAAAAAACCCCCTTCAGTCACCCAGGCCCAAGCCTGGGAGCACTG